AGCTGATTCGAACGAGCGTAAACTCGTCGCTGTATGACCTGTTATGGCGGAGTAAATCCACTTAAACTGGGAGCGCACAAATGATGCGACCGTGTCAGTTGACCTCCATCGGTTCTGATGAGCTGGCCTTTGAGGAAGTTGCGCGCTGTCTTATGTGACATCGCTAAGGAGGTTTCTGCGGGCGTCTAGGAACACAGCCGAGGTCGACGAGATCCATCGTTTGTGTTTTGAACCTGAGACATTGTTTTGATCGATATTTGAATAGCTTCGTGGATTTGCTTCTCCTGTTCATTAAGTCCTTTGAGTAGTGGTTGAACTGAGAGGCGATCGTAGAAATCCGCTTCGTAGGCCAATTAGTAGCAATCGCTGACGCTGTATGCATTATCCGTGGTTTTCTTGCGATTGTTCTTCAGCCGTAAAAAGAATTTGGCTCGTAACAAGGCGTGGTCTGTATCCACAGCTGTTGATCAGTAAGAGCTGCAGTCTTGAATTATCCCCTCCAGCGCTAACTGATGGCGGTTTGGTCGATCTGGGTTCAGCGCGGTGAAGAGGTTTATGGTTTCCGTGTAAGACGTTGCCGCTTCTTGTGCGAGAAGTTCGTTTTTGACAGGAACAATCCGTGGTCCGCATAGAGTTGGAGTAGATGATCGCCGTTGTCCGTCCGGTTGGCTGGGATTGCATGTGGTCCACCAAGAAACTTTTCTGATTAGTCCAGGGATCCCACTTGAACATTGAAGTATCCGGTGACTACTAAGATGTCCATTGATCGAACACTTCGGAGTAAATGATAAAGGTCCTTGTAGAATTCATCCTTGATTTCGGGTGTACTTCAATCGGTCGGTGCATACATCGATAAGACGAATAAGCATCGACGCTTCGTTTGTAGCTGTTGACCCGTGCTGAACCGTTGAGACTTATAGCGCACAGTCGGGTACTGACTGGAATCCAGCCAAGAAGCGAGCGCTCAGCCTTGGCAATTAGCGCAATCCCAACACCAGTAACACCGTGAGCTTGGGGTGCAGCATAAGGTCGAGGTTGTGTTGGGAGAACGGGGGGAGGTGATTGAAGTAGGGTTGTGTATACGTGTTTCAGAAACACAGTATACATCTAGATTGAAAGTTTCGAGGGTACTAGCTAAGGCAGCTTGTTGACTAATCTGATAGAGTGTGCGGACTTCGAATGCGGCTAAGTGAAAAGGGAATTTCAGCTTCAAAAGTCCCTTAACTTCTGATTGTTTGTGTTGTTCGCTGGCGCATTGATTTTCAATCCGCTTATCGGGGTCGGCCCAATAAAGTACGAAGAATACTACAATCGTTGAGAGGAAGCCCTTGTTACCCGGCTCCTACGTCCATCTAGCAGTTTTTTTACCACTAAACTGTCCCTCATCGTGTTTATTTGCGGGTGTGACCTCTCCAGGGGCGCGTTTAGATTGACGAAGGAAATCAGGAGTTACCCAGGCTGTTGGCTTTGAGAGACTAAGCTTTGTCTGGCCTCTACCTATTGACCTTTCAGGCATACTTGGATCTACGGCTGTATAGCTCGCAGAGTCATGGAGGCACGCAAGCCATCACACCACGTCAAGATGCAGTCGTCCTGGTGGATGACATCTAGTGTGCAAAACCGCGTACAACCTCGGCGATAGAGGTATGACGGTAACACGGTAAACGTATCCTAGTTTGAAGACACGTAGATAAATACCCGACGTCAATGTGATCATTTGTTTAATTATGTTATTGTTATGATTAGTTTCTAGTTTATATATTTGTAATATGATCCCGATTCTCCTCATTGGAAGGCGGGAGTGAACGAATCACTTCGGATTGTGGAAATCGGTGCCGCTGATGGTCCTAACTTGTCTTCCTATCCTCCTGGCTCGAGCGTGGTCGTGGTGGAACCACTTGCCGATTATCGTTTAACCTTCGAGCGTCGTCTGTCCGAATTGAATGCCAGTCGAGATGATCCGAAATGCTCAATCAATCTGGAAGCTTGGTATTCGATTCCCGCCGAGGAATTAGCTGTATTGAACAAGTCATCTGGTGGCGGAGACTCTGCCGCGGATGGGTCCATTGGACAGTTCGACGCGGCGGTTTCCACCTTCACTTTATGCTGCGTTCGCGATATGGATCAAGTTTTAAGCGGATTAACCCAGTTAGTCAAACCTGTAAGTTTTCTGCTGGATCTCATGATTATTTGTGTTTCTCAAGCACTTTATTGTTTGCTTGCGTTCGATTTTACACAAATATCTGTCTGGAAGGTAAATGTGTCTCTTTTCTTATAATTATCTGCAAAGGTTCTCTGAAACGCTATAACATGCAGTGCCCTCAGTTTTTCAATTTCAGTTGATACAGCCAGTAACCATGCCCTCTTGTGCCCTGGTTTTCGATTGTTGTCTTCTAATTGCCTATTTCAATGAAGGAGAAAAAGAATGTTTAGGATGTGTAAATCATTGTCGGGGTGCAAATAGAGAACTCATAAAGACAAAGGTGGCAAAGGCATTGAGTAGACACACGAACATCACTGTTCGCGACACTCAATCCTCCTCCTCATCATCCTACAGCGAAATACAGTTAAGCGAACTTCTCTGACCGCTGCCAAACTCGTTAGTGATAAAATTTAAGGTAAACAGGGATTGAATCTCTTTTGAGGGTGGGAGAAGAAGATGAGTCAACACACAGAGTACGCAATCGAACTCTGCAAACATACCGTTTCAAGCATTCTGACCTGATAAGAAACGACAACA